CTGAACTATTTCATTACTTCAAATACTTTTACTGAACATAAAGATTGCATCATCTGTTTTTCCTCTAGAATTTAAATTATTTATTTATTTATTTATTTATTTATTATCTTATTGCATTGGTCAGAACCTCCAAAACAACCTTCCATTTTAGTGGCTGAGAGATGGAGTATATAAATGACAACCAGATTGTATAAAAATAGAACTTTGACTCACCATGAAGGGCAGTAACCTGCCCAGGAGACAAACTATTTTTTTTAATTTATTAAATTTCATTTATTCATTCATTTTATTTTAATTTGACAGAGAGAGACAGAAAGAGAGAAAGTGAGAAAACAAGCTACCAGGACTTGAACCATGGTCAGCCATGTGGGAGTGTCCAGCACCTTAACCACCATGCCACCTGCTGGCCCCAGGAGACAAACTATTTATCTATAACAAATAGCCCAGAAAACCAGTTTACTATAAATCAGACTTCCAGGAAGCAAGAGTTCCAGGAAGCTAAACAATAACCTTGGAAATTAGTAGCCCAAAATGGCCAGGACTTAATTGATAACAGCAGCTGCCCTGCTTTTGGTCCCCACTTCTAACATTCTCTCTCTCTTTTTTCTTTTCTTTTTTTTTTTTTTTTTTTTTTTTTTTTTTGTTTTTTTTCGCAATAGGGAGAATACACTCGCCAGACATACATTTGCTACAGGGCACGTGTGCTCACCAGAGAGACAGAGAGACAGAAAGTGAGAAATCGCCCCCCAGGGGGAGGATGGCCACGCTGCAATCCCTTCTCCGTTCTCCTCTCGGGATCTTGGACATGCACGCACACGCGCCCAGCGTGAGTTTAAGCCACCGGGTCCAGGACTCGAACCGCAGTCGACTACATGGGAGTTCAGCAACATAGCCATTATGCTAACTGCTGGTTCCCCCACTTCTAACATTCTAACATAGGACTAACCAGAGAAAGTCAAATATCCCTAACCAATCAGGTATGATGCCCCACTTCTAGTTAACCCAGCTGCAATTTCTTTAATGCCAACGGCCTCTAGTCAAGGCACAGCTAAAACCTTCCCATTTTTCTTGTTCTCGTTTTAATTTTTTTTCCATTGTCAGAGGGTACTTGTACTTATTCAAAGAGAGAGAAAGCAAGCAAGCATCCTCCAGTGGGAATGTGGCCATATTGCAATCCAGTCATAATTTGAGGTTCGCATACACATACACCCAGATGTCTCTCAAACCACTGGGGCTGGGACTCAAACTGCAGTTGGCCATGTGGGATCTGGTTCCCTATGCACAGCACTTCCCTTTCTTCCACTATCAAACATTCCCATGCCTCTACTTCCCTTTGATAAATCTCCCCACGCCTCTTCCAAAACGCAAGCGGTGTTGGCTGCCTCCCTTACTATACACAGCTCAGAATAAAGAGCCTTTGTGTTTCTCCTATGATTGATCTTTGTTTATTTAAGCATACATCCTTAATTTTGCTCTTCATTGTAACAGAAACATCCTTAATTTTTTGGTCATTAAGAATGTTGATAAGAATAAGCCACACCAAGGCCAGTCCCGTAGCTCAGCAGTTAAGAGAGCTAGTTGGGTCCTCGTGTCAGCGGCTTGGAACATACATGGGTGAGTGTGCTGGCATGCACAGAACCCTGACCCGAAGGAAGAATGGAGGAAAGGAAATGGGATTGAGGTGTGATCATGCCCCACTGGGGGGCAGGGGTGTCTTTCCTCTCTCTCCCTCTCTCTCCCTCTCTCTGTCTGTGAGAGCACTGTGACAGCAAAATAAAATAAATTGCCACACTAAAATATTCCACTTTGTCATAAGGATTATCATTTTTGGAGGGTTTTTTGCTATAGGGCGTGTGCACTCGCCAGAAAGAGAGAGAGAGACAGAGAGACGGAAAGCGAGAAATCACCCCCCGGGGGGATGGCCACGCTACAATCCCTTCTCCTTCGTTCTCCTCTCGGGATCTTGGGCACGCACACACACGCACCTGGTGTGAGTTTTTCTCTTATTTTTTTGGAGAGGTTTTTGCAATAGGGCGTGTGCGCTCATCAGACAGGCAGAGACAGAGAGACAGAAAGTGAGAAATCACCCCCTAGGGGGGATGGCCATGCTGCAATCCCTTCTCCTTCATTCTCCTCTCGGGATCTTGGGCACACACGTACACACGCCCAGCGTGAGTTTTAAGCCACCGGGTCCAGGACATGAACCACGGTTGACTACATGGGAGTCCAGCAACACAGCCATTATGCTAACGCTAGTCCCTCATGAGGATTATTTTGAGCTCCAGCTGAAGAAGGATGTGAGATCTCTATACTGCAGCTCCTAACAAGGCAGACCACCTACAGATTCACAGGTGGTAAAGCACATAGGAAGCAACTGGCTATGAAAGCCCCTTGCAAGAGTGCGCCCTCTACTGGAGGAATGAAAGCATCCCATCATTAATGGGTCTGGTACTGTGGTGCTTGGTGGTTAAAAGTCCACAGAACTTGTGATTCAGAAACTTCCCTCCCTGTATCTGATGGAAAAAATTAATCAGGACTTCAAAAAAGATCTGGCTTCCAGAGCTCAGCTATTAGTGCTTTCCTGGAGGCAAGTGAGGCCTATCTGGGTGGCCTCTTTTTTCTTTTTTATTAAAAAAATATTTTATTCATTCATTCATTCATTTTTAATTTGACCAGAGAGAAACAGAGAGAGAAAGTGAAAACACGAACTGCTAGGTCCAGGACTTGAACTGCAGTCAGCCATGTGGGAGTCCAGCACCTTAACCACCATGCCACCTGCCACCTCTGGTTGGCATTTTTGAAGACACCTGCCTTTGTGTTATCCATGCCCAGTGCAACAATACACATTTGAACATACAGCTAGCTAGCTATATAGGTGGAGAACATGCCTAAAAATATGCTATGATGGGAGACCAACAGTTAGTGTAATGGCTATGTCACTGGATTCCCATGAAGTCAACCTCGGTTAGAGCCCCAGACCCAGTGGCTTAAAATCACGCCAGGTGCGTGTGTGTGCATGCCCAAGATCCCAGGAGGAGAATGGAGAAGAGATTGTGGCATGGCCATCCCCCTTGGGAGGTGACTTCTTGCTTTCTTTCTATGTCTCTTTGTCTTTCTGGCAAGTGCACATGCCCTATAGCAAAAAACTCTCAAAAAAAAAATGCTATGATGGGAAACATTTCATTCTCACAGAAAAAAATATTTTCTCTTCCTCCCGTTAATGGTTGCTATGAATGTCAGATATTTTTTCCATAGGGTTAAAAAGTACCTAAGTATATGACTGTGAGTGGAAAAGTGGTTGAGAATAGATACCAGGTATTGTTGGGACCAACCAGCAGGTGGTGTGATGGTTAGGGTGCTAGATACTCCCACATGGCTGACCATGGTTCAAGTCCCAGACCTGGTGGCTTGTTTTCTTACTTTCCCTCTCTCTTTCTGTGTGTCTCTCTCTGTTCAAATTAAAATAAAATGAATGAATAAATAACAAGTTTAAAATGGTATTCAATTTATTAAAAAAAAAAAGAAATCAGGTATTGGCAATTTTTCCTTTTCCATTTCCATTTCTGTGCGACATTTTTCTTCCTCTTATTATTTTTAAAAATTTGCTACAGGGGGGACCAGCAGTTGGCGTAATGGATATGTTGCTGGACTCCCACGTAGTCAACTGCAGTTCGAGTCCCGGACCTGGTGGCTTAAACTCACGCCAATCCCAAGAGGAAAATGGAGGAGAAGGGATTGTGGCATGGCCATCCCCCCAGGGGGTAATTTCTTGCCTTCTGTCTGACTCTGTCTCTGATGAGCACACAAACCATACAGCAAAAACATCTCCAAAAAAAAATTTTTTTTTAATTGCTATAAGGTACGTATGCTTGTCAGAGAGAGAGAAAAAGACAGAGGGAAAGTGAGAAAGCATCCCCTGGGGGATGGCCACACTTCAATCCTTCCTCCTAATCTAGCCACCTTAACCACCCACAAGCATGTTTTTAAAAATTTCTGTCTTCTGTGCTGTTCCTATAAGTTGCTATTAAAATACATTAAACTAAAAAAAGAAAGTTTAAAGCATAACAATTCAACTATATTCAGAAGTGAAATGCAAATAAACCTAATTTTTTAAAAAGAATTATTTAATTTTATTTATTCATTCACTTATTTTAATTAGACCAAAGAGAGACAGAGAGAGAAAGTGAGAAAGCAAGCCACAGGTCTGGGACTCAAAACATGGTCTGCCATGCCGGAGTATCCAGCACCTTAACCACCATGCCACCTGCTGTCCCCAAATAAACCTACTCGTTAATTTCTGCCTTTAATAAAAACTATTATTTTAGGGCCAGCCTGTAGTCTGGTGGTTAAGGGAGGTGGATACCACATGACCGGCTAAGTGGTTCAACTCTTGGACCTGGTGGCTTAAAAACACACCAGGCACACATGCATGTGCGCCCTATAAAAATCCCAAGAGAATGGTGGAGAAGGGGTTGTGGTGCAGCCAGCCCTCGGGGTGCTTTCTCACTTTCTCTCTCTCTTTCTTATTCTCCCTCTAGCAACCTCATGTGCCCTATAGTAAAACTTTAAAAAAAAGAAAAAAAAAAAGTTCACCATATCCATTCACAGTTCATTTGCATAGATTATTCTTTCCGGGAAAATGTATTTAAATTCCACAGACTCAGAAACTACAATATTGTTTAATAATGATTGTTGGTGTTTGAGATAAAACTTAAGACTTCGGAAAAATAAGAACAGTAAATACGTATAATAATGCATTTTATTTAACACTAACCTATTCCTGGATGAAATAATATTACAGGTCCACCCAGAGCTGGATACTATTCTCAACAGGTTGAGGCCACATGGGGGGCCTGGATTTTATTTCCCACTCACCCGAAAGCAACCGCGTGCAGGTATGCATCTGTGGTCCCAGCTATTTGAGACCGTTTATTTAAAACCATTTGTTGCCTACCCAATGAGACATTCACTAGCCACCCTAAATAAATTTCACTACTCACCCCATGACACTTCATAGTCCTCTTACTGTCTCCCTTTAGCACACATACGGCATCTATCCGGTTGGCTGTTTCACCCAGGAGAACTCATGAGACCAGGGGTTTTTGTCTGTTTTATTCACTGCTGTGTCCCAAGCTCTTAGAACATTGCCTGGAACATAATAGGTGCTCAATTAATGTTTAAGGAGTAAATAAATGAAACAGTCTATTAAATAAGTTACTATTTTAAGAAAGATAATACCCAGTAAAGCTATTACTCTTATCATTGATAATAGCTTATAAATTTTTTTTTGGAAAACTATTTGACATTAAAATCATAAACAGGGGCCAGCAGGTGATGTAGAAATTAAGGTAGCTAGATTCCACATGGCCAACTTCACAGTTCAAGTTTCAGATGAGGTAGCTTGAAAATCATGCTAGATGGGGCCAGCAGGTGGCACAGTGGTTAAGGGCACTGGACTTCCACATGGTTGACCCTGGTTCAAGTCCCAGACTTGGTGGCTTGCTTTCTCATTTTCCCTCACTTTCTCTCGCTCTGTGCCTTTCTGGTCAAATTAAAAATAAATAAATAAAGTTGAATAAAATAATTCTCAAAAGAAAGAAAGAAAGAAAATCATACTATGCACATGTGCATGCATATCCAGAATTCCAAAAGGAGAACAGAGGAGAGGAGATTGCAACATGGCCATCCCTCCTGGGGGGTAATTTCTAAGTTTCCCTCTCTTCCTCTGTCTGTGGCAAGCAACTAAAAAATAAATAAAAATAAAAAACATTAATACTTTACCCCAGAATTCTGGAAAATGTTTTCAAAGAGCTATCCTAAAATAGGGAAAAGCAGGCACAGTAAACGTCAAGCTGTTCACTGTAGTGTTATTTATATAAAAAAGAGAAATAGCAAAAAAAATTGGACAAATTATGCCATATCCACAAACTGAAATTCTACTTATTTGGAATTCTATTACATTTCAACTTCCAATAATGTGGGGAAATACTTTTTTATGTACATGAAGAAAAAAATTAACAGACTATGGATATGTAGTCTATTATTCCAACTACTTAAAAATATGTACTGTAGAAAAATTTAATATAAATTTTTAAATATTGTGTAATTTCCTTTTCGCTGCTTTCCAAATTGTTGATAATATGGTTGTAATTTATATTCTCAAAATAGATGTATAATAAGGGGTACTGAGTCATTTTGCCTCTCTCTCCCTCTCTCTCTCTGGTAAGCATATACATGTTTAAAAGGGGGGGGTAAGCAACTGGCGTGGTGCTTAAAGCATTGGACTCACACATGGTCGACCATGGTTTGAGTCTTGGACCTGGTGGCTTGCTTTCTCACTTTCCTCCCTCCCTCTCTCTCTCTCTCTCGTCAAATTAATATTAATTTACTAAGCAAATTAAAAATAACAGTAAATAAATAAATATAATTAATTAAATAATTAATTTTTGAAAAAGAAAATAGAAAGATAAGACCAGTAGGTGACATGTTGGTTAAAGTGCTGAACTCCCACATGGTCAATCACGATTCAAGTCCCAGACCTGATGGCTTACTTTCTCTCTCTCTCTCCCTGTCTCTCTCTCTCTCTCTCTCTGGTGAGTGCACATGCCCTATAGCAAATTAAATAATAATTAATTAAAATAATTATAAAAAAAGGAAAGAAAAAATATCCCTCAAGATAAATTAGCACCCTCTGGGACCAGCAGTTCACATAATGGCTCTGTCGCTGGACTCCCACGTAGTCAACCATAGTTCGAGTCCCGGACCTAGTAGATTAAACTCACACCGGGCATATGTGCGTGCATGCCCAAGATCCCAAGAGGACAATGCAGGAGAAGGGATTGCAGCATAGCCATCCCCCCTGGGGGGTCATTTCTCGCTTTCTGTCTCTCTGTCTCTCTCTGTCTTTCTGGCGGGCGCCCACACCCCATAGCAAAACCTCAAAAAAAAAAAAAAAAAAAAGATTAACTAGCACCCTCTAACTCTATGCTCACCAAAGTGCTTTCTGGTTATTAAGTTGGCCTCTCAGTTTCCTTTTTCCTGGAAAGGGGATAGGACCCCGAACTACCAACATGAGTACTTGTGTATTTAGTCTGAATGGCGATGGACTATAAGTATAAAATCCATCCTAGCTTTTGAAGATTTTGTATGGAAAAAAAAGTAAAATATTTCAATACTGATTTTTATATTGATTAAATGTAGAAATTACAATATTTTGGATAATTTGGATCAAATAAGATACATCAAAATTAATTTTAAAGGGCTAGTCAGTGGCATGGTGGGTAAGGCAGCTGGATCCCACATTGCCAACTGTATGGTTCAAGTTCTGGACCCGACAGCTTGAGAAACACACCAGGTGCATGTGTGTACCCACAATCCTGAAGGAAAGGAAAAATGGAAAAGAAGTCTCCCACAGTCTCTCTTTGGTCAGCACTCTGGGAAATTTTTTTTTTTTTTTTTTTTTTGAGAGAGAAAGATTTTTGCTATAGGGCACATGTGATTGCCAGAGAGACAGAGAAAGCAAGAAATCATCCCCTGGGGGGACGGCCATGCCACAATCCCTTCTCCATTCTCCTCTCAGGATTTTGGGCACGCACACACACGCACCTAGCATGAGTTTTAAATCACTAGGTACCAGACTTTAACCGTGGTTGACTGCTTGAGAGTCCAGAGAAGTTAACTATTAAGCCACTTAGTGGTCCCCAAAAGAATACATTTTATCTGTTTCTTTTTTAATAAGGCCACTGGAGATTTTTAAATACTTCTGTGGCTTGCATTTGTAAACAATATTATATTTCTATTAGATAAGAATGATCTAGAACACTACAGAATACTGTAGTTAGGCCTACCCTGTAGCACAGTGGCTTAGCACTATGCATTGAGACCAGATCCCACAGGTCCAACCACTGTCTAAATCCTGGCCCTGAGCAGCTTGAAAAAACACTCCAGGTGGCGTCAGCAGGTGGTATGGTGGTTAAGGTGCTGGACTCCCACATGGCCAATGGTGGTTCAAGTCATGAACCTGACAACTTGCTTTCTCACTCTGTCTAGTGAGTGCATGTGTCCTATAATTAAAATAATAATAAACAAAATTAAATATTTTTTAAAAAGAAAAAAACACTCCAGGTACATGTACACATGTCCCCCCAAATCCTGACAGAAATGAAAGGGGAAAGGATTACAGCATGACAACATCCTATAGGGGAGGGTTCTCTCTCTTCCTCTGGCAAGCACACATACTCTCTGGCAATTAAAATAAATTTTTAAATGGAAACAAAATAGTGCAGCCAATGTAAATATGTATACAATCTCCCTATAAATTAGCACATTGATACTCTGGTTTAGACATCTGACTCCAGTGAGCTTTCCTGGCACAAGTCTTTCCCTCACAGAGTGATCAACTTTGCATTAACAAAATCAAGCTCTGAGGGACCAGCAGTTAGCGTAATGGCTATGTCGCTGGACTCCCACCTAGTCGACCGCAGTTCGAGTCCTGGACCCGGTGACTTAAACTCACACTGGGCACGTGTGTGTGTGTGCCCAAGATCCCGAGAGGAGAATGGAGGAGAAGGGATTGCGGCGTGGCCATCCCCCCAGGGGGTGATTTCTCACTTTCTGTCTCTCTGTCTCTGTCTGTCTGGCAAGCGCACACGCTCTATAGCAAAAAAAAAAAAAAAAAAAAAAAATCAAGCCCTGAAAAAATCAGAAGAGTAGACCTTTATTGAAGTGAGCAAATCGAAGTGCTGGCATTCTCTGAGCTTCCTGGGCACAAACTGTCAGCCCAGCCATTCTATCGCCTGGCATTTCTCTCCTGGCTCTAGTCTTGTGTTGAGACTATGTTCTTCAAGGGACAGGGCTGTACATTATTTATCTTTGTTTTCCTACCATGTGGGTGCCTTATATAAATATTCAAAAGTTTGTGGGGCTGGCAGGTGGCGTAGCGGTTAAGGATGCTGGACTCTCACATGACCAACTGAGGTCGAGTCCTGGACCTGGTGGCTTGTTTTCTCACTTTTTCTCAATCTCTTCCGCTCTGTCCCTCTGTGATCAAATTAAAATAAATAAATACATAAAGTTAAATAATTCTTTTAAAAGAAACATTTGTTAAGTAATCATTTACATTTTATGCCTTTGATCATAGCTATAAGCTTCATTGCCTCAAGGATTTGAACATAACTCTGCATTGTTTTTTCCTTCATCTAATTGCAAACAGCCTGTAAAGTTTGAATACATGAAGACCTGAAAGAAAGCAAAGTAATTATGGTCCTGTTAACTAAAAATGGTGACTAATGGGACCAGCAGGTGGCATGGTGGTTAAGGTGCTGGACACTCCCACATGGCTGACCACGGTTCAAGTGCTGGAACTGGTGGCTTGCTTTCTCACTTTCTGTCTCTCTCTCTCTCTTTCTCTCTTTCTCTCTGTCTGTGTGTGTCTCTATGGTCAAGTTAAAATAAATGAATGAATAAATTAAAAATTAAATAAATAATTCTTTAAAAAAAAAAAGGTGACTAATATCTATGGAGTGAAAGTTTGATAACCATTACAACACTTTGACGTGTTTGATCATAACCTTTATCATAGCCTTGATATTTTAGCAGCAGGGACAGAGCCTTAGAGACAGGCCACAGAACTGATATTTCATCATTGCGTGATAGACTGTATTATGTGACCTCTGGTTTGTCCCTGAAGTCCAATAGCAACCTTAAGGCTATTATAGAATAGAGGTGGAAAGGAAAACAGATGACACAAAAAGAAAAGTAGGTCTCTCACGGGATCAGGGCAGAGCTTTGGCCTCATAACATAGACCAGATGGCAATTACTCCTTTCTCAGCAAGTAGCTTCTCAATGTCCTATGGGTTGTGAAAATAAATTCACTATCAACTTCACCTAAAAATTATTTTTGAATACTGTGCCAGCATCAAAACATTGCTAAAAACACACAAGAAAAAAAAGAAAGGTGAAAAAAAAAAAACCTTTTCCTAAATATTTAAGTTGTTGGAAGGAAAATCCTTTCCTGAGAAATGCTATTTACCCAACAAAAAATCTTGGCTTCAGGTTTATTCTCATTTTTTACTTTGAAATGAAGTAAATGACTTTTATTTTCCCCGATTTTGTGACTGTACTGTAAAAGCCACTGAAAATGCCTGAGAGGGCCCAGCCAGAGGCGCAACGTTTAAAGCTCTGGACTTCCACATCGTCGACCACAGTTCAAGTTCTAGACCTGGCAGCTTGCTTTCTCACTTTCCCTCTCTCTCTCACTGTCTCTCTCTGGTGAGCACATGTGCCCTGCAGCAAATTTAAAAATAATAATAACTATTGGGAACCAGCAGTTAGCGTAATGGCTATCTCACTGGACTCCCATGTAGTCGACTGCAGTTCACGTCCTGGACTCGGTGGCTTATAACTCACGCCGGGCGCGTGTGCGTACGTGCCCAAGATCCCAAGAAGGGAGGAGAAGGGCGTGCGGCATGCCCATCCCCCCAGGAGGGTGATTTCTCATTGTCTCTATGTCTCTCTCTGTCTGTCTGGTGAGCGCACGCACCCTATAGCGAAAACCTCTCCAAAATAATAATAACTAGGACCATCAGATGGCAAAATGGTTACATCGCTGGACTCCCAGGTGGCTGACTATGGTTCAGGCCTAGACCTGATAGCTTGAAACTCATGCCTGGCCCATGTGTGTGCATGCCAAAAATCCCGAGAGGATAATGGAAGAGAAGGGACTGCAGCATGGCCATCCTCCCTGGGGGGGTGATTTCTCACTTTCTGTTTCTCCATCTCTCCAGTGAGTACACCCACCCTATAGAAAAAATCTCTAACAACAAAAAATAATAAATAATTCTAAAAAAAAAAAATGCCTGAGAAACTACTGGTGCTAGCTTTACTGAAGTTAAATACTTATAGTTACTAATCCTATAGCTATGTGTACCCATCCTTTCATAGTTTTATAAAAATTATGTATGCAAGAATGCAGTTGTTCTCTTCTACTTCCACAGCTCAAAAGAAACCTTCCTGTTGCCTAAATTAAAGCAAATATTTCTGAAAGGTGACTTAGTGATTCCAATTTAAAAATTTAATTTGAATGCCAGCAGGTGGGCAGGTGGCTTAGAGGTTAAGGTGCTGGACCCCACGTGATCGATTCCACAGTTCAAGTCCTACACCCAGCTGCTTGAAAATCATGCCAGTCTTGTACCCATGCGTGTCCAAAATCCTGAAAAAGGGATGGAGAAGGGATTTCCTTGTGGCCAAACTGGGGAGCGGGGATGATATCACACGCTGGTCCCCCCCCCATGCACACACCTACAACAATAAACAAAAAAATTAATGATGGTTTTACTTTGTAGTTTGAGACACCTCTAACAAATTACAATTCAGTTGTCCTAACTAAAAGAAATATTTAAGTCCTACTCCTGCTAGCTAACTTAACAAAATTTCCCGCTGGGACCGTTTTTTTCCTTCTGGGAGAGAAGAAATCCTACCTATGCTAAAGCTTTTTAGCATTTTACACGTGGGCTGCCAGTCATTTTTCAGCCCTTGCCTTCTGAGTAGCTGCTTGCTCTAATATTTCCCAGAACTGATTTGTTCTACTTGACTGTTTCCGCAACTCTGACTTCAGGTAGGGAAAACAGGAACAGGACGACAAGGAATAGTGTACTAGCTCCTGGGACAAGAAGCAAAGTTCACAGCACAAGTCACCAGATAATGAACTTGACTCAGAATGCGCACAAACAAGAGAGTTGTAAAGTGATTTCAAGTGCTCCAAAATCAGCACTTGAAATAAAATTGCACTTGTTTCTAACCCCCATTTCCACCTTAGAGATACTGAAAACGTGAACATCCGCCATTAGTAGTTACTGAATAGCTGAATGACATTCATGAATGGGGGGTTTAGAGTACAGTAACTCGACATTTGAATTATAGACGCTCTGTTCATTATCACGCGAGAATTACAAAATGTGAAGCACAATAAAGAAAAATTGGGTCCTAAAGACCTCACCGACAAGTTTCCGTCGGGACGGCCAAGCCTGCCCAGAAGGAAAGATGCGGAAGAACGAACCAGGTAACTTTCGGAAGGCCGCCAGCACCCAAGATCCCGGCGCGAACGCAACACTACCACCGCGCATGCGCAGCTCTCTGGGCACACGACGGCGGGCGCGCGCCGGGCCCCGCTTATCTAGGGGGTGGGGCGGGGTTGTGTCACGTGGCCAGGATTGCGGCAATTCTGGCCCAATCAGAGACGTCTCGAGAAGCGCCCTTGCAGAGCAATTCGGGTAACCCCGGTCCTTCCGGAGTCGTGACCTCTTTTTTTGGACCTGGCTTTTAGGCTCTGCTTTTGAATCTAAGAGTCGTATTTGCAGAAAGCCTTGCCTTGTGTCCAGCGAATCTAATTAGGGGCACACTCTGAAGTGATTAACGATTTTTATTTTGTTTTTATTACTAAAGTGGCATGTCTTTAATTTCGAGTCCTGTTCCCGGAGATGTTCAAATCCTTTTCCTATTGCTTTGGATTCCAGAATCGCTGGAGGGCGCGCTGTTGTAAAAAACAACACCCGGGAAAGGGAAAAAAAGGAAAAACAATGTTTTATTTATATATTAGGAATTAAGGTTTGAGGAAAGGCAAGATAAAATTTTAAGGAGGGAAGTGTCCCCTATGACTAGGTCAGATAACTCACCTCAAAACTGTACCCCAGGGACCAGCAGGTGACCTAATGGCTATGTCGCTGGACTCTCATGTAGTCAACCGCGGTTCAAGTCCCGGACCTGGTGGCTTAAACTCACGCGGGGCGCCTGTGCATGCGTGCTCAAGGTCCCAAGTGGAGAATGGAGGAGGGATTGCAGCGTGGCCATCCCCCCTGGGGGGTGATTTCTCGATTTCTGTCTCTCTCTGGCGATAGAATGCGCCCTATAGCAAAAAAAAAAAAAAAAAAGGCTTTGTCAGTTTAAGCATTTAAATTAAAATCTTGTTTAGTTAAGCCTCCTACCAAGAATCTGAAGTAGTGATGACTTGCCCAGGAGCGTGCTGGGAAACAAGGCCTTAGAGAAATTTAATCTTAACGCTGGAGTCCCTTAAGGGAAGGTGAAGGGAATGAAGTAAAGGCAAATGGAAGAGCCTGGGTTCTGGAGCTCTTCTTCAGGTACCCACTGACTGATCCATCCCAGGAACCTTGGCATTGTTCCTGCTACATAGCCCAAGAGGGTGGCTTGGGGAGAAGAAAAAAGTGTTTTGGGTGAAGTTTGGTAAAAATGCTTCACCTGTAATCCTGGTCACAAAGATTTCACACAGATAAGTCCTGGACACCTCAATACTGGGTTTGCAAAAGGCCCTGGCGTGGGTTGAGGGCCTGCAAAGAACAGCTGTGAGCGCTGGACTTGGCACCGCTTCTCAGGCTTGAGGGAGATGGTAATTGCTGCTTCCTTGGTTTCCTCTGGGTCTGCATAGCTAACTACAGTTTGAGTCCCGGATTTGAGTTCCGAACTGGGCAGCTTAAAACTCATGCTGAGGTACCAGCGGGTGGTGTGGTGGTTAAGGCACTGGACACTCCCACATGGCTGACCATGGTTCAAGTCCTGGACTTGGTGGCTAGCTTTCTCACCTTCTCTCTCTCTCTCTGTCTGTGTGTTTCTCTGGTCAAATTAAAAATGAATGAATGAATGAATAAAGTTAAATAAATGATT